AACAGAAGTATTTGAACACCCTGCGATTTTGCAAGTTCTCCCACTTAGAAATCATGGAGGGGTCTGAAATTCACATTGTAAGTGCATTCCCACTCTGAGAGACAGAATTTAAAAAAAAAATTCAGGAATTCACATTGTATGATTTTTAAAGAATTTATTTGTCTTGCACTGCTGAACATAAGTATTTGAACACCTGAGAAAATCAGTGTTAATATTTGGTACAGAAGCCTTTGTTTGCAATTACAGAGGTCAAACGTTTCCTGTAGTTCTTGACCAGGTTTGCACACACTGCAACAGGGATTTTGGCCCACTCCTCCACACAGATCTCCTATAGATCTGTCAGGTTTCGGGGCTGTCGCTGAGCAACACTGAGTTTCAGCTCCCTCCAAAGATGTTCTATTGGATTTAGGTCTGGAGACTGGCTAGGCCACTCCAGAACCTTGATATGCTTTTTATGGAGCCACTCCTTGGTTATCCTGGCTGTGTGCTTCGGGTCGTTGTCATGTTGGAAGACCCAGCCACGACCCATCTTCAATGCTCTGACTGAGGGAAGGAGGTTGTTACTCAAAATCTCACAATAAATGGCCCCATTCATCCACTCCGTAACACAGTGCAGTCGTCCTGTCCCCTTCGCAGAAAAGCACCCCCAAAGCATGATGTTACCACCCCCATGCTTCACAGTAGGGATGGTGTTCTTGGGATGCAACTCATCCTTCTTTTTCCTTCAAACACAACGAGTGAAGTTTAGACCAAAATGTTCTACTTTGGTCTCATCTGACCACATGACTTTCTCCCATGCCTCCTCTGGATCATCCAGATGGTCATTGGCAAACTTCAGACGGGCCTGGACATGTGATGACTTGAGCAGGGGAACCTTCCGTGCAATGCATGATTTGAAACCATGACGGCATAGTGTTCTACCGACAGTGACCTTTGAAACTGTGGTCCCAGCTCTCTTCATGTCATTGACCAGCTCCTCCCTTGTAGTTCTGGGCTGATTCCTCACCTTTCTTATCATCAGTGATACCCCACGAGGTGAGATCTTGCATGGAACCTCAGTCCGAGGGAGACTGACAGTCATCTTTAGCCTCTTCCATTTTCTAACAATTGCTCCAACAGTTAATCTTTTCTCACCAAGCTGCTTGGCAATTGCTCCGTAGCCCTTTCCAGCCTTGTGGAGGTCCACAATTTTGTCTGTGGTGTCTTTTGACAGCTCTTTGGTCTTGCCCATGGTAGTAGTTGGCGCCTGACTGACTGTGGGGTGGACAGGTGTCTTTAAAGAGCTCAGACAGGTGCTACTAAGTTAGATTAATAAGTGGAGTAGAGGTGGACTTTTTAAAGGCACAGTAACAGGTCTTTGAGAGCCAGAATTCTTGCTGTTTCTCAGGTGTTCAAATACTTATGTTCTGCAGTGCAAGACAAATAAATTCTTGAATTTTTGTGCCAATGTGATTTCCTGACTTTTTTTTTTTAAATTCTGTCTCTCAGAGTGGGAATGCACCTACAATGTGAATTTCAGACCCCTCCATGATTTCTAAGTAGGAGAACTTGCAAAATCGCAGGGTGTTCAAATACTTCTGTTCCTCACTGTATACTGGAATTTTTATATTCATTTTTTTATACTAGTAATGGTGGCGATCAGCAACCTATAGCGGGACTGCGGAGGGCATTCCGACACTGGGTGGGAAGTGACTAACTGCCACTAAAATCTCAATGACACCAATACAGTGATCATTGCTAATAAAAAGCACTGACATTGTACTAATGGCACTGGGCAGGAAGGGGTTAATATCTGGGGCAATCAAAGGGTTAACTGTGTGCTGTGTGAGTTTTACTAGGGAAACACGCTGCTGTGTATTTCTGTGTGCAGAGAAATACAAATCAGCATTTACTTGCTGGCAGGAGAGAGACTTGTGTTGTTTACACACAGGTCTCTACCCTGTCAGTTTAACTTGCTGGGTGCCGGCAGGGAATCTCCAGCTGGGACCCGGTGATTGACATCCGTTGCTGCCAATGGCGGTGCGAGTAGGGCGGCGCGTGCGCCCCCTACCTGGAAATGCAAATCATGTATATATATATATGTGATTTTGCGCAGCCCTGCTTCCCTGTAGCAGTACTTCTATTAGGGCGGCGGGCAAGAGGTTAAAAACCAGTCAGCAAAGATAGAGCACATTTTTCTCTGCAGACAGAGATGGTGCAAACTAGACCCCCCACCACAAAACCAGCCCCCATGACAGCATGCAGGGCTAATCACCACACTTGTAGTCCACTCACACTTCCTCCAGCTCTCCAACTGAAAGCCCTTACCTTGGTACAGACATGAAGCTGGAGGAAGAGTCTGCAGGAGCCTGGCACTGTACCCGTGATCTACTGATCGAGGGTGCAATGCTTTGTAGGTTCCTATTAAAAAAAATAATAAACACGTTTCCCCTGCAATTATAAGTGCATTTGTTATTTATGAAACGTTTAACACTGCCATCTACTATTTTGTGTTATCCACAATTTTAGACTCTTGGAGAGACTCAGGAAGACTTAGGCAGCCTATACATTCATAATTTTTTTTTCATAAAAAAAAAAAAAAAATTCTCTAATTCCCTCATCCACACACTCAACACGGTTGGGGGGATCCTCCCCCGTTGTGCTATTGTGTTCTGATAGCAGGAAGCCTTCTCCCCCATCAAAATACAATGATCAGTGTTGCCAGTGTCAGCGGCACTGATCGATTGGGTAAAAACCCAACAGGCTGGTTGTACAGAAGTCGATCATTAGATAGACTTCTGTACAGCCAAGGTGCCCATACATGGGTCGAAATGCGGTCAGTCCCTGCTGAATTGGCCAAATTTCGATCCTTTATTTTAGTCAGTGAAATAGGAGACAAGAAGTCAGCTGTGTGCAGAAAAAACACCCACCTCCATTCAAAACTTCAAACATCTATCATTCTGAAACTTATTTAGAAAGACTAGCAAAGTGAGCCTGTTGAATGATTTGGAATGATGTGTTTTATTTTTGTGTGAAGCAACATTATTTACAAAATGTAAGCAATGTGCTATAATATTAAGGGTAAGCAGTAATTTTGTCAGGTTCTGTACTAATGACATGTATGTGACACACATGGAGAATGTTTGCCTGTAGCATAATCACAATTTGAAAATCTCATATGGACAGTAGCATATAAGAAATTAGATCTCTCTCTAGCCCTCTGTATGTTGTTAATGCACTGGGTTACCTTTGCTAACAGCCTCCAACTTTACAAGAACAAAATGTAGTTATGTTGCCAAAGACTTGGCCCTGGGCGCAATCTGTCTCCTAACCACAGGTAACCACTGGATGTGTGGATACATGCAGATACATGCTTACAGTTGCAGATAGCCCTGTCTCCTTCCAGCCTGTCATTGAGTTGTAGAGAGTGAATGGCCGCCTCTAATTGAATTACCTGGATCATGGCCTCATGTATCCACAGTATGCTTGCAACACCATGGCCAGTTTAGGACATGTGAATTATTCCTAAGGCAGGCCATATATGGTGTGACTTTCTTTCCTGAAATCTCGGGTTGCAGAAAAGAAAATAGCTTGATCCCCCCATCAACACAGTCAGTGTTGATGGGGAAATTACTCCCACAGAGCTACTGTGTTCTCCCAGCGGGGAGGCTGGGGGGGGGGGGGGGGATTTGTCCCCACTGGGAGAACACAGTGATTATTGCCAGGGGCTATAAAAGCTGCTAGCAACAATAGCATGTGAAATCCCATAGATGGTTCGAATCTTGGAAACCATCTATGGCCGGTTTAAGGGTGGGAAGTTTAGGTTGTGCAACAACTTTCAAGTACTTTTGAGAAGGTGAAATCCTAAAAACATTTCTACAATTTAATACATATCTACAAACCACACTCTTAATCCTCTACAGAAGAACCCTCATAGCTGCTTAACCCAAGTATCATTTCCCACAATATGCTCCCCACAAAAGGGAAACCACTCACAGTAGATGACATTGAAAGGCCCATTATGCATTCTGAGCATAATTCACCAGGTCTGGATGGACACGCTATTAAGTGGTATCAAACTTATACAGTACTGTTAAGAGGAAAAAGGTAGTGTACAAAGGAGAGTTTGGAAGAAGGGAATGAAACTCTGAGAAGGAGATTATACGAGAAGAGTATGCTGAATAAGGGTGTAAAGATTAGAGAGAACAAGACCCCTGCAATGCTAATAACAGGAAGCAGAATATACTATTCTTATTTTATTACAAAGGATAAAAGTAAACCTAAAGATCTTTTCCTTCCAACAAATAGCCATTCGAGTTTGTTGCCAACTTTAATAAATTACTTAAAAGTAAAAATGTAAATTATGAAATTATGAAGGCACAATGCAACTCTATCTTCATTGGATCATCATAGTCTGCAACAAGTCTTACCTGTGCAAAAAATAAAGTCAAATAAAAGCTGGTGCCCACTAAATAATCATTTGTACACTGGCATTAATAAATGCAGCTATTCGGCTATGAAAGTAACAGTTACATAACGGCACAAGCAATTGTTTCAGTAGGATTGATGCGAACGTTCTATGACATTGTCCAAAAATAAAAAAATTTCAAGGGATATTGCTCTTTATAATCATAAAATCCAGATTTACAGTCGACACCGAAGGGCAAAAAAATAAGGAAGCTCTGCAGGGATTGCTGCAATATGCACTCAGCTTGGCCTTTCACTGGATATCTTTCAGACATGATGTATTTAATTATTAAAGATGATTGCTCTTTAAAGTAGATCCTGCCACCGAGTTCCCTTCCATATCCTGATACTTTGTATAATTGGACTAACATCTAGGTTTTAAAGCACAGACTAGTTTCACACATTTACTTAGTTTTTTATTCTCTCTGATAAATGCTCAGATGAGTAACCTTTCTCACAGACACTTATAAAGGCTAGAGCAAGAAAAAAAATGAAATCAAGTAAGTGCTGAAATAACGACATGGGCAAGTCTTTTAAAGATATTCCAGTCTGACCTCTATTAATTCCACTCAGCCATTCATGTGCAGTGAGGGCTGGCTGTGTTCCAGCTGTCAATGGGTAAATGTCCTCCTGGAACGATTCTGACTACAAGACACAAAGGAAAATAGCTCTAAAATGAAAGCCACATTGGTAGGTTTTTATAACGCAATTTATATTGTCACAGTACCTGATTGTGAACATATATGCACTTATGCCGGGAAAATAATCGTTCTTGCACAAACAAATGTTATCTAATATCATTTAAATTAAAAATAATCCTCATAAATAAAAATTATATATACAAAAAATGGTCATACACATGCTCGACATGAGACAAGATAAAATCTTGGCTTGGTCTCAAGAGATTCTCGAATTTTCCACTTCTTAATAAGTGATTGAACAGTACTGATTGTTCCATTACCTTGTTACAGTGCCTTGAAAAAGTACTCATACCCCTTGACATTTTCCACATTTTGTCATGTTACAACCAAAAACATAAATGTATTTTACTGTGATTTTATGTGATAGACCAACACAAAGTGGCACATAATAAAAATAAATATCTGAAAAGTGTGGAGTGCATTTGTATTCAGCCCCCCTGAGTCAATACTTTGTAGATCCACATTTCACTGCAATTACAGCTGTAAGACTTTTTGGGTCTATACCTTCAAAAACCCCCCCCGTTTACCTCTACCAGCTTTGCACATCTAGAAAGTGACATTTTTGCCCATTCTTCTTTGCAAAATAGCTCAAGCTTTGTCAGATTGGATGGAGAGCGTCTGTGAACAGCAATTTTGAAGTCTTGCCACAGATTCTCAATTGGATTTAGGTCTGGACTTTGACTGGGCCATTCTAACACATGAATATGCTTTGATCTAAACCATTCCATTGTAGCTCTGGCTGTATGTTTAGGGTCGTTGTCCTGCTGGAAGATGAACCTCCGCCCCAGTCTCAAGTCTTTTGCAGACTCTAACATGTTTTCTTCTAAGACTGCTCTGTATTTGGCTCCATCCAACTTCCCATCAACTCTGACCAGCTTCCCTGTTCCTGCTGAAGAAAAGCATCCCCCCAACATGATACTACCACCACCATGTTTCACAGTGCGGATGGTATGTTCAGGGTGATATCCATTGTTAGTTTTCTGCCACACATAGCATTTTGCTTTTAGGCCAAAAAGTTCAATTTTGGTCTCGTCTGACCAGAGCACCTTCTTCCACATGTTTGCTGTGTCCCCCACGTGGCTTCTTGCAAACTGCAAACGTGACTTCTTATAGCTTTCTTTCAAAAATGGTTTTCTTCTTGCCACTCTTCCACAAAGGCAAGAATTGTGGAGTGCACAACTAATAGTTGTCCTGTGGACAGATTCTCCCACCTGAGCTGTGGATCTCTGCAGCTCCTACAGAGTTACCATGGGCCTCTTAGCTGCTTCTCTGATTACTGCTCTCCTTCCTGTCAGTTTAGGTGGATGGCCATGTTTTGATAGGTTTGAAGTTTTGCATACTCTTTCCATTTTCGGATGATGGATTGAACAGTGCTTCGTGAGATTTTCAAAGCTTGGGATATATTTTTTTTATAACCTAGCTCTGCTTTAAACTTCTCCACAACGTTATCCCTGACCTTTTTGGTGTGTTCCTTGGCCTTCATGATGCTGTTGGCTCAGTAATGTTCGCTAACAAACCTCTGAGGGCTTCACAGAACAGCTGTATTTATACAGAGATTAAATTACACACAGGTGGACTCTATTTACGAATTAGGTGACTTCTGAAGGCAATTGGTTTCACTAGATTTTTGTTAGGGGTAACAGAGTAAAGGGAGCTGAATAAAAATGCATGCCACACTTTTCAGATATTTATGTGTAAAAAATGTTGAAAACCATTTATCATTTTCCTTCCACTTCACAATTATGTGCAACTTTAAAATACCAATAAAATACATTTTTGTTTTTCGTTGTAACATGACACAATGTGGAACAGTTCAAGGAGTACGAATACTTTTTCAAGGCATTGTACACAGGTCTTTTGACAGTTCTTTTCTGCTCCCAATGGCTCAGTATTTAGCCTGCTCAGTGCATCCACATGACAGCTAACACACCCATTGATATTAATTGCAATTTAAAAAGCCACAAATGTGGGGAATTAACCTTTAATTACCATTTTAACCTATGTGTCTAATCTGTGTGTCTTTACCAAGACCAAACATTCCAGGGTATGTAAACTTTTGATCCGGGCCATTTGGGTGATTTCTCTTATCATAATTTAAAAAGGAGCCAAACAACTTTGTGATAATAAATGGCTTCATATGATCACTGTCCTTAAATAAAAGACAGTTTTTTGGCATGATCAGTCACAGTTTCAATATCAATGCCAAAATTTCATGGTTTCTGCCAGGTTGTGCAAATGCTTGAGCACAACTGTATGTTTATAATTAAACAGCATAGATATATTTTTGTTAGCACTATACAGAGTACATGCAACCCTTCACTTCAGTCCCTGTACCCCAGAGGAGATTACAATTCTACATACCTAACACACTCATACACACTTAGGGGAAAACAAATTAACCTACCAGTATGTTATTAAATTGCAGGAGCAAACCAGAGCACCTAAAGGAAACCCACAAGGAAAACATACAAACACCATGTAAACATTGTCCCAGGCAGCACTGAACTGAGGGTCCAAAACTGCAAGATAGGTCTTAACCAATTGTACCTATAGACATTGCTGATGCAATATTATTTCTTGCCATCACTCATCTTCACAGACATCCTGTCTGAGGAAATCATTGTAAGCGGGTCAGGAAGCAAGAGGAAATATCACCAATGGAGTTACAGACAGCAGTAGAAATCAGACAGAAGTTTTAATCCTTTCCCACTCTATCCATAATCATGGAAACCATTTCTGGCTTGGCACATTCTATGCATGAAGGTAAAAAACCTTCAATGTGTAGCAGCCCCCATAATACTTACCTAAGCTCCAGCGAGGATCCAAGTGACGACAGCGATGATTCTGCAACTGAGCTCAGTGATGTGTGAACTTGGTGCTCTATTTCAAATTTCAGCGTTATTGGTTTGATTACATTATTGAATTAAATGTATTATTATATTATTATTTTTTATAATTAGTTATTATATTATAATTTATGATTTCGAGTTTCAAACTTTATCATACCCGGGATGTTTACTAGACTCTTGTGTGGACAGATTTAAGTAAGTTATTTCTAAGAATTACAGGCCTACAATATAAAACAAAAAATTTCCATGCAAAACAATGTACCGCTTTGACATTCAAAAATATTGACATAATTAGACCGCCAGGGAGGTTAAAAAGGATTGGTTGCAATAGGCTTACAATCACACTCAATCTTTAATATGGGAGTTGCCATTTTCACAGTGTTTTATTATTCCTCTCTGTTGTACATCCCCATATCTTTTGTTCTGCTGCTGCAAAATGTGATAAATACAAATTGCATCTTACCCGTCTAGGCACAATCATTGAAACAGGTTCGATCAGTCCTTTTACAGTAATCAGTCTATAGAATCTAAACACTTCACAGGTGGATACATCAAGTCCCCTCTTTGGCAAAGCACCTGGAAAAAAATGTAACGCGTTCAAATTATTTTAATGTATTTAGCACTTTTTCCAAATGCTTTTTTCTGTTTTTTTTTTACCTTTAGTTATAATAAAATGAATAATGCATTCAAATCATCACAGATTACTAAGAAGAAGAAAGTGTATCTAAACCAAAAATTAAAAATGTCATATGTAGCAGCTTACCAATCCTTATAAGTGATGGCTTCATTAGTTTTTGGTTTTCAAAGTTTTTTTCACCTTAACACCTCCTGTCCCTGGATGGCTACACTTACTCTTTCAATGTATGTATCTATGGAAGGAGCCACAATTGATACCCTGGCAAATATGTCTGCCCATTAGTACGTCTATTACAAGAGGAAGGGGGATTGATAGTTTATATGACTGTTTATGCTTTCAGTTCAGCTCAAAGTGAGTGAAAAGTACACTGCATTCCTGGCAAGATCAACAGGTATTTTATGTACTCGCTGAAAATGTTTTTGGCCTGAAAAATTAAAGATTATGCAGCCACCACATTTAAGGATTGGTAAGCTGCAATACATTGCATTTCAGTTCTTGAGTTTATATATACTGCAACCACCTGATGCAATGTTCCCCTGACCAGTTACATTTCAAAGTTGACTTTGAATAAGTGAATAATCCAAAAAGTAAAACAGATCAGTATTAAACTTAAGTTAATGGTCATATGTTATCTTGTTTAAATGAAAACAAAATGTAAAATATACTGTATTTAACTTGAAGGGCAGATGCTGTAATGCAAACTAATAGTTTATGTTCTCTTTATTAGCTAGATTTCAAAAGTGGCACTTTAAGGTTCCTCCTGGGTGGTTCAAGTGATGGGGGGATCCAGTGTGGGCATATTGCAGACCAGGGCTCAAAATTTCAAGTCCTTAGCTACTAGTCAGGCCTTAAGAGTTACTCACCACCAGTTGCCCCACCCGATCCCTACCATGCCCCTGCCCTAATTCCACCCATAAACACACCCTCGTAAATTATCTCATGAAATTACACTGTTAAATGTTTTATGCAGAATAAATATTAACAACAAATTTAACAATAATAACATGAAGCTATGTAAACACCTCCTCCATCCAATGTGTTCCTCCTTCTCCAGTCCCATCTCCCCCATCCCATGTCCTCCTCTACCAGTTCTCCTTTACTATCAGAGCCCCCCATACCATCAGAGTCTCCCTGTACCATCAGAGCCCCCCTTTACCATAGAGTCCACCTGTACCATCAGAGCCCCCCCTTTATCATCAGAGCTCCCCCCTTTATCATCAGAGCCCCCCTTTTATCATCAGGGACCTCCTTTACCATCGGAGTCCCCCACTTACAGAAATAGCCCTCCAGTGGTGTTGGAACTGTGCATGGCGGGGAAGGAAAGGAGGAAAGCAGAGAACAGGTGTGGCTGGATTGGATGGAGGGGAGGAGTGAAAAAGGAAACTGAAGCAGAAAAGAAAATCTAGACCAGAGAGGAGGGGAGAGATTGTTGGGGAAGAAAGTGCAGCTGCAGCCGAAGCACAGAGATCTAACCTGTAAGATGAGAACCAGCATGTCAGCGAGTAGAGGTTGGTGCGGCGGCACCCTTTACACAGTTCAGGCCCGCACATGTCACCCCTAGTGAGAAACCTGGATAGCACTGGAAGCCGAGGCTGAGGGAGGACAGCAAAACACTGCGAGTGACCGGGGAAAGGAATGGGGGAATGGCGAGGGTGATTGGTGCACAGGTCCAGGACATGGAGCGGGTCTGTTTACCCAGCTGCCTGTGCTGCCTTACGGTGGTGCTGGCTCTGTCAGTGACTCACCCCCACGCTATTTCCACTTGCCAAATGCGTGCAGGCGAGTGGAAATTTTGAGGCCTGTTGCAGACGCTAAAATTATATTTAAGAAGATTTCACACATCTAAATATCACATGAAATGACTGCAAAACTCACCAATTCCTTTTTGAGGTAAGTTGGAACGATATTCATTCAAGTATTGAAAGTAAGGCTTCTGAGGAATGATTTCATAATATCGAATATTCCCTTCTCCCTGTGGCACAAAAAATGTAGTCGGACACTGCCAGTGCATTGCTGTCATACTGTAAAACTACTCAAAACTGTTTAAAACTATGTGTGCGAAATGATAAACAATACTCACCTTTCCCACCAAGTACATCATATTTGTGTCATTGTCAAAAAAGGGGAAGAGCAGTCCAGAGGAACCATCCATATCCTCCTGATGTAAAGGCACTGAAAGGTCATCCTGAAATTTCAAAATGGAGAGTGATAGTTTCAGTAAGTGTTTCTCAAAAAAAAACTTATGTAATGCAACTTTTTTTTTTAATATAAATATAATTTTAGAACTACTCTTGTTATGAAATAGCACTATTTATAAAGGCCCTAGGCATCTAAAAATCATACAAATGTGAAAGCAATTAAAATAATTAGGATCTATGTGTGGCCAATTTTCTTCCTCAGCTCGGCATGGTTTCTATAGTGGGAAAAGGCATAGACACATTATGATTCCAACTGATCTTTAAAAAGAACCTGTTAGAGTAGAAATACAAGATTTGCCTACTAACAGTCTGCTCTCAAACAAGGTCACATTCTGAGTATTGTGTGCACATAGGCAAATAAGTTAAAATATGCAAAAAAAAAATAGAAACAGAAAACTACATAAATGATGCAGCCTTGTCAACAGCATTAACACAGTCTCCTGGAACATAATTTAATTACCAGTTATTTCTCTACCTTTGACAATCTGCCCAACAAATGTGGCAGGTACAGGGTATGGGAAGATTCATACACCACTGACAAAGTTGTATACAATCATCCACTTTCATTCTTATGGCCTAAAGTATAAGTTAATTGCATTTTTTTTTAATCAGCACAAGGGATAGCACTTACATTTGATAATAAGTGTCATTTATGCTGGTGGCTGCTGTCTTAGTTGAAATAGTCCATCCTCTGCCCCCTGATCCCCCCCCCCCCCCCCCATCCTTAGCTGTAATGTTTCAGTGCTGTGGACTTGTCATCATGTCAACAAGAATGCCAACTATGCCCATCGTTTTGCCCTCCTTTTCTATTCATAGAAGCTGTGCTATAGCTTGCATCAATGAAAAGTGCTGAATGGAGGAAGTTGAGCTTTATTCCTCTGCCTGTCCTCTATTAACACAGTGCTTTTTATTGAGGGGGAAAAGGGCAGATATAGCACTCTTGATGAGTGTCTGTGACAGGTCTGGAGGCTTTAACTGCTACAGCACCAGAAGATTACCAATGCATGAGTATGGGGTGGAAGGGACAGAGGACTGAATAATCTAACTAAGACAGTAGCTACCAGCAGAAGGAACACTTCTCACTGAATGTAAGTACTGTCCAATGTACTGATTTAAAAAAAAAAAACTAAACTTAGGCTTTAAACCTTTTTCCAAAAAAAAAAAAAAAAACAACCACATGCAGCTAAGATTGTTGTCCTGTCCGAATGAGGACAACACTACGTAAATTAATTTGTTTGTAAATCCTTTTTCTTGAAGTACTGGACCACAGACGCCTTTAAATCTTGACCATGGGTTTTATGCTGCCAATTTTATGTGAGGATGCTGCGAACAAAGTTGTTGGGACAGCCCTTACAACCACTGCTAGAACATTGAAGAATGGGACATACCCCGAAAGCTTGCCCTGAAAATTGTATGTTAGTGTAAATAAAAAAAGGATCATGGACAGTACTCAATTGTTTCTGTCCCTCTCCCAGAAATTCTCACTTTTTTGGAAAGCAATGAGGAAAATGCCAGAACATACAGTATGGGAGGGGTGGCATGTGTCCAGTAAGAAACTGCAAGAAAAGTATTTTACAGGCAAGTCAAAAATTCCTATTTCTTAATAGTACAGTACAGGACACAGGCTCCTTTAAGTCTTGATCATGGAATGCAATACAATTGCAGGGAGAAAAACACAGCAAAAAAACGCTAAAAGCCCCAACACAGGTTCCCTACTCAAAAAGAGGCTTAAAGCACCTTAAGGCCAAAGCTGGCAACAGCAGAACGTCAACCTGGTAAAACTTCACAAACGTGTGAACAGAAAATCAAGGGGCAGCCTTGCAAATCTGAGAAAACAGACGCCTGGAGATTAAAAGTCTAAAAAGCACTACCTGAATGAGTCAAGTAAGTCTTAAAATGGTACATTCCTACCCTTCAAGGTGTAAGTCTCAAGTGTAATCCTAAAGGTGTAAGCTTCAATGATAACCTGTCTAATCCACCTAGGTATGGTGGAACAAAATGCAGGATTGCCCTTGCGAAAACCCGCAGGCAAGTCAAACAGAGAATCCAAGGTTCGGATGGAAGCAGTGGTTGAGAGATAAACTCGTGCTGCATGTACTACAGCAAAACAATTTAGAGGGACCTCTTTGGGGTACTTTTGAGCAGGACAAATAAAAGACAGGATGATATCTTGATTAAGGCAGAAGGAGAAAACCACCTTAGGGAGAAAGGAGGCTTGAGGCCTCAAAACCACTTTTTGTTCTTGAAGAACAAAAGTTTATAGCAGGACAAGGCCACCAGTTTTGAGACCTGTAGGTCCCATGGAGACTCCCTGCTTCACCCACTTCAGAGGGCATACACTTCAGAGACTGGAGTTACCGGGATTCAGATCATCACTGACCTAGACCTATACTCTGCAGCTAACTGCACCATGCTGTACTGAAGGTGAGTGCTGAACTAAAAATCCCATGCTGGCACCTCATCTTCCATGCACCAGGGTCCAGTGTTCCCCAATGTACTGCTGAGGGACGACTCATCCTGAAGCTACATACATAATGCCACAGTGGCATTGGTGCAGCCAGGGGGAGAAGGGCTTTCTTCATGTGAAAAAAAACAGCATAGTCTTCAATCTTCCAGTCATATCGGAAGTAAAAGCCACAAACCTGCTCGCAGTAGAAAGAGGTCCTCCATCACATTGGGACACTACAAAAAATTGAGGATTGCTGGAAATGGGAGGGGGTATAAAGGCAGTTCTAACAACTTTGTTGCTGGTGCTCTCACCTGAAGGTGACAGCAAATAATCATAGTCAAGACTCAAAGAAACCTGTGTCCTCTACGGTATGAATAGGAAAATGGATTTACTGACTGATCTTTGTTATGTGGTGACTCAGAAAAACGAAAATTGCAATGTTAAATGCTATTGTCAGACTGCAACAAATATAATTTTTTCAATTTTGGCCACAGGTTTAACAGGCAGCAACTTTTGATGATGTAACACCCTCTAGTGTCAGGCTAAAGTAAGTGAAGGAGAACATACAGTACTGTGCAAAAGGTTTAGGCAGGTGTGAAGAAATGCTGCAAGGTAAGAATGCTTTCAAGAATATATATTTTGTTTATTTTTATCAATTTACAATATGCAAAGTGAGTAAACAATAGAAATCTATATATAAATCAAATCAGTATTTGGTGTGGCTACCCTTTGGCTTCAAAGCAGCATCACGTCTTATGAAGGCCATACATGGGTCGAATTCCGAACGTATTTTCCTAAAAAAAAAAAAATCTGAAATTTTGTGCGTTCTGTATTCCGATGGTGCCACCATTGATTTCAAAATTCGACCAACCAAGCCTTTCATTTCACTTTATGATGCTACAGAAAAGATTTTCGTGGCCCAGAATTTTCTTTTTCTTTCCAAGTCACAGCTCATGCTCTTTTCTTTTTCAATGATATTTCTCGCACAATTCTCCCATCATTGAAGCGAAATTCATTTGTTTTTCTAAAAATTTCCAGCATGCCAATCACTCAAATTCGATGGTCACTCTGTAGCCCACTAATGGTGACGAAATTAGAACGAATATTTGTATTTACATGTTTTAAACATTTTTTTTTTTTTTTACATTTCTTCAGTTACTTCCTGGTTTCCATGACTGGGCAAATGATGGCATACATCCCAGGAGTCTTCAGGAGGAAAGGAGGGTCTTTCTTAGCTAAGCATACCCTCTTGCATGCATGCCTGAGCTAAGGGAAGATGGATTCCAGGAAGTAAATACTACATGAATCATCTGCCCTTACTCAAGATGGCCATGGCCAGAAATGTTAGGGGGGTGTTTTTCAAAGTGACTTCTCAGCAAAATAAAGCATTGAGGCATGGGTGTATGGATTAGTTTGAATATTAAAAATAAATAAAATAGAATTTTTGGTTTGTGGTGCTCAGATGCAGTGTAGTTCTGCTTTAATGCAGCAGATGAAAGACACATCATGCAGACTTTCCTTCGACACTGGATAGGGGCGGACTGACAACATATGGGGCCCCCAGGCAATAAGAGATTGAGGGACCCCCCTGTGTCCCCACCCACACCTAAGCCACACCCACACAATGCCCCACCTACATATTGCAGCTCAACTGCATAGAAGGGGCATTTAAATATTGTACTGCAGCAAAGCCTGCATGAATGTTCCTGGATTCATTCCGTAGAAGTCACTGGGCACTTCTAGGTTTAAAGATGGCTGCCAAGTGGGGGAAGAGGGGGGGGAGGAGGGGGTGAGAGAAAGGGGACATGAGAGGGAGGGCAGAGAGAGGGAAGGGGTGAGAGAGAGGGGGGGTGAGAAGGGGGGGAGAGAATGACAGAGGAGAGGAGAGAGAGCAAATGGGTGACAGGGGGGAGAGAGGAAGGTAGTGAGAGAGGGAGGTAAGAGGGGGGGGGGTGAGAGAGAGAGAAAGGGGGGTGAGAGAAGGAGGGCAGTGAAAGAAAAAGGGGGTGAGAGGGGGGTGAGAGAGGGGGTAGTGAGAGAGAGAAGGAGAAGAGAGTAAGAGGGGAGTGAGGAGAGGAGTGGGGCGAGAAAAGGGGGGAGATGAGTGGGGGGTTGAGGGCAGTGGAACTGAGGGTGAGAAGGGGGAGGGGACTGAGAGGGGGGTGAGAGAGAGGGGGCTCCCCTATCCCCCCATACTACACCAGGAGACCTCCCATCCCGCCAATATTACACTGGGTGAACACCCCCATCGCCTTAAATGTTTAAATACTGTAGTCTGTAAATTCATATTAGCAGGGTTCCGTACTATTTATGTACCTCTGTTGCAGAAAAATGAAAGCTTTCTTTGATTTTTAGAACAAGGCCTTCACTTAGCCCTTCTGTGTTCATAGAAAACCTTATGACTTCCTGACTTTCCTTATGACGGTCTGATTTTACAATCTCCTTCAGATTTACCAAAACTATGGAACAGGAGGACCCACCTATCTACCCATTCACTCTGCATCC